CTGGTCTTGAACTCCCGACCTTAGGTGATCCTTCTGCCTCAACCTTCCAAGGTGCTGGGATTACAGGCATGAGTCACCCTACCCAGCCGATGGTGGAAGAATTTTTAAAGCAGGAGGAATGACATGGTCAGTTGCATAGACAGAGAAATCACTCCATCCTGTAGTGGAGGGCAGTTGGGGGAGGTCCAGTAGGTGGTGAGGTTGTAAGGAGAGAAAAAACAGATTCAGGTGGCATTCAGAGTCTGGAGTCAGTAGGATTTGGTGTCAGTGGGGATGTGGGGTGTGAGGGACAAGGATGACAGGCCTTCTCCTGGCTTGGGCAGCTGGGTGAATAGCTGTGCTCTGTATGAGATGGGGTGGGGCATCTTCCAGGAAGCAGGTTGGGGGGGAGGTGATGAGGTTGGCTTGGGAGTGGCCAAGTATGAGATGCCTTGGGGCTTCCCAGGGAGTTGTCTAGTGGGCATTTGGGGGCCTTGGAGGCATGTTAGAGTGGAGGTGTGCTCTGGGAGTTGCTGAAGTCTGAGTGGTGGGGGGGGTGGAGGAGTATGGGCTGAGGTTGCTCGGGGAAGTGGTATCAGTGAAAAAGAACGTGAAATTCCATAGACTTCAGGATCCAGGAGGGACCTGTCAGCTCAGACGCTCTCAATGGACCCTGGCCTGGAGGATGTGCCTCCTGGGCACCTTGACAGACCCCCATCCCTGGCTTGCTCTCAGCTCCACACCTCCCACCATCACAGGGGACTCACCTATTTGGGACCTGTGCTGGGCAGGGCTAGGGAGGCCTGACTCACGCTCATTCCTATGATGGACACTCACTGAGAACTGACTCCTGCTGGGCACAGGGTCTCCTGGGGTTTCTCTCCTCCCAGTGTGGCCAGCTGGTTGTAGGACCCAGAGGCCCCTGGAGTAGCCTCTGCCTTTGGGCACTCCCCGCCGCATCCTGGGGGCATACTCTGTATGTATTGGGGGGTGATGGGTGAGCCTGGATCTGAGGTTCCGGTGCTCAGGTGCTCACCGAGTGGTCTCGGCATCCTCTCTGAGGTCCATCTAACACCCCATCCCCTGTTTTCCTATCCGCGACTCCCCACCTGGTCTGCAAAGTACTGGGAAAATCATATTTATTAAGAGGTTTGACATACACTATTGCCGTATACAAAATCTTCACTAGCCATCAACCTCCCTCCCCTGAGGCTTAGGACCCAGGGACCAAACTACCCTTACCTCCCGCATTGGCCCCTGGGTGAGCTTCCTGAGCCCCCACAGCCACCTTCCTCACCACCGTGCTACAGCAAGGAATCCACTCCCCTTTCCTGTTTTCCTGGGTGGCCTCATGATGGGGCAGGGGGCACCTGGTGATCCTATCTGGTGATCTCACAGGTTATGGATACCCACCTGCATCCACTAGGGCCGACCCAGCCTTCATGAGGACAGAGTTCCCATCCTCAGGGTGCCCTCCCTGGGGGAGCACATATGGTGGGCATGTATCAGGTAGGCGTTCCCGGCACCGAGACCGCCGGTGCCTGGGGCCGAAGATCTCCATGCACCTCTTGCCCACCAAGTAGAAGACCTCACTGAGGTTGAGCAGGATGCAGATGGCAGCTGTGGTCACCATGAAGTAGGTGAAGACCTTCTTCTCTGTGGGCCGGGAGATGTAACAGTCCACAGTGTGGGGGCAAGGCTCCACGGAGCAGGCCACCACGCGGGGCATGTCATAATCCTTGTAGAGGCGGTGGAAGATATAGAGGAAGCCGGTATCCACGGCGGCCTTGAAGATGAGGCTTAGCAAGTATGTCCACCACAGCCCGCCCCGCTTCTTGCTTGGGTTGTCATATAGGGAAGGGGCATTGGGCCCATGTTTCAGGCGGTACCTGCGCTCGCGTTCCTCGCGGTAGGCCACGTGCATGACCACGAGCAGCGAGGGGCATGTGACCAGGATGAGCTGCAGGGCCCAGAGGCGCACGTGGGACACAGGGAAGAACTCGTCGTAGCAGACATTGGGGCAGCCAGGCTGCTTGGTGTTGCAGACAAAGTCCTTCTGCTCATCGTCCCACACCTCCTCGGCTGCCACCACGTACACCAGCACGCGAAAGATGAAGACCACAGACAGCCAGATGCGGCTTAGTGCCGTGGAGTACTTGTTCACACCACTTAGGAGGCCCTGCAGAAATGCCCAGTTCATGCTGGCTGTGTCCTGGGTGCTGCACGTGGACGGTCTACACCTGTGTGCCACCCACCCACTCAGGCCTTGGGAGCCTTGAGGCGTGGGGGGACCTGGAGATGGGCACCCTTAATGCCGGTGCAACTGACAAAAGCGTTTCACAATTACCGTGTCATCATGTCCTCACTCCCATTGACTTGGTAGGATAGGGATTGCCCGTGTCCCCGTTTCACAAAGAGTAAGTGAAGGCCCAGAGATACCCGCCAAAGCTCCACAGATGGAAGTCGCAGAGCTAGTCTTGCACTTTGGTCTTCAAGTTCCAAAATTAGGGTCTATTTTATTCTACAAAGTAATAGATACATGTGAAGACAAGCATCCTGCATGGACCTGCCAGCCAACCTCTTACTCCAAGTTTCAGCCCACGACTTCTAGAGAGAACGTAGGAAGGTTTGAATTGGACGATCTGCTCTCCCGTCAGCTGCCAGGGCTGGGCCAGGGCAGGAGGGGTAGGAGCGTATCCTTATCAGTTGTCAGATCCATCCCACTTTTACTGAACACCATCGGGAGCCTGGCCCTGTTCTGGGCACGTTCACATCAGCCCCTTGGTAGATCCCGTAACAATCTTCATCCTTACTCCTTGGCTCTGGCTCCAGGAAGGTTCTCAGCCCTGGCATTCATGCCCAAACTAAACAGAGGTGCTTTGGAATCATGAAGACCTGACAGGGAGGCCTGCTAACCCATGTATTGGTACTAGGGCCTGAGGGCTGACTGTCCTGACCACAGTGGGTTCCTCTGGAATTCCAACTATTCCAGCTTTTGTAAGGGACTGGGGAAGGGACTGAGGATGGATTCTGGCATGGTCTGCACCCCTCATTTACTTTCTCTCAGGGGCACCCCCTCCTCTGTCCACTTAGTGGCTTTTTGCTAGCGAAGTTTCCATTATTTCCTTCCAGGCCCCTGTCCTATGGACTCCCACCTCCACATCCCCTTGTCTGGAGTCCCCATCAGGTCCCACCTCCAACACTCCCCTCCTCCTCCCCTTCTCCCTCCCCAACCTCAAGCCCTGACTCTACTCTCAGCCTCTTCAGACATTGTGTGCCTGGGACATTTTCAGAGAAAGAGGCATCGCCTATTCCCAAATGATCTATTTACCTGTCTTATTTTTTGCCAGACTGTCAGCTTCTAGAGGGCAGACTCTTTACCTCTGTCTCCCTAGGACCCAGCACTGGCCTGGCCCAGTGAACACACAAGAGATGTTTGTGAAACTGAACTGAAACCCATTTCTTCCTGATCCCTCCTCTTCCCTGGTCTTCTGTCCTCCCTCAGGTCAGGCAGGACATTCCTTCTCCTCCTTGGCACCCTCTAGGGACCCCCACCCTTTGGCTCCCTCCCTAAAGCCCAGTCTACAGCCTGAGGTCCGCTGGATATGTTCAGCTCAGCTGGCTGCTGGCTTCCTGGCCAGCCTCCTGCCCTATTTGGTCCTCACCCTTTTTGGATCCAGTAGCTGCTCCCTTGTCCTTGGGCTTGTCCGTCTGCCCCAGGACCTCCCGGAGGCAGCTTTTGTTACTCACTCTCCTGCTGGGTGGGGCTTTCTGGACCAATGAGCCAAGCGAGAGTGACTGGGGTGGGCAGGCAGGAGGACGGACTTCCCCGGGCACATATTCAGAGCAAACACCTGCGGCTCTTCTCTCCTGGCCCACGCCTCCTCTCTAGCCTGGCTGGGCCTGGCTCCCAGGCAGGCAGGTATGTGGGTGAGACTGCTCTGTGGGGCTCAGGAGCCTGATATCATTATGCCCAGGTCTAGGACAGCACCAGTGGGATTGACCCTGTCCCCTTCCCGTTGCCTCCTTGCCCCACCTCCCTGTCCTTAAGCCTCTCTTCTGGCCTTTTTCTGGGAAGCCTTATTCTGAGGTCCTCAGCAGCTGACATCTATGGAAAGGGGCAACCTTAATTTAGTGCAGGAATGTATCCCACTCTGGTGGTGGGGATATTTCTGGGGACTGGAGCCGGGAAAGCTCTTGGATTGTGTAGGGGATGGGAGCTGTCAGCTATGAGTTTTCTAGACCAGGGCACCCACAGCCCTGGTGGAGGCAAGGAATGCAGGTTGGCAGCATGAAATGCTCCAGTTGGCACGGGGCCCGGCACAGTGTTGCTGTTGATCCTCTGTGAGCTGGGGCCTCTGGGGTCCTGAGGAAGGCCTCCAGGGAAGCTGGAGTATGACTGCGCAGATGCTGGTGGGGGCCCTGGGACCTGTGTCTCGGCTGGGATGATGAAGTTTAATGTGCAGCTAGGGAGGGGCCTTCTGCTTCATTTCCCACAGGCATTTATCCAGCACTTCCTAATACCAATGATTAACATTTATGTGTCCTTTTACAGCTGGCTGACCCTGTCCCAGCCATGAGCTCATCAGTCCTCAGCACAGCCCCACAGGCTATGGGAAAGTCACTTCAGCTTCTCTCCAAAATGGGTTAATAATACCTATTAATAATACCTATTAACCCATTTTGGAGAGAAGCGGAAGTGACTTTCCCAGAGTCACAGTGGAACTTGGACTTGACGCAGGCATTCTGAGTCCATGAACTTCCCACTGCAACGTGCAGCTCCCCAAGGACCGAGCTCCATTCTCTCTGCAGACAACCCACAGGCCTAAACTTGCCATGGGAGATAAAGGCTAGATGGGAGCATGAGCAAGTAGCATGTCCCCTGGAATACTGGAGGGCCCCCTTTCTGGAGGAGAGGAGGCCCCTCCTCAGGCTGGATCAAGTGCAGCACTTTGCAGGGGCAGAGAGATTGACACAATGAACGCAGGGGGGTCACAAAGGCCGCACAACCAGAGAGCACCTGGAATCAGCAAATGAGTTGACTTTTATTAAGCCCTGACAGTGGGCCACACACACGAAGGTGCCTGCATGTGTGTTCTTCTATGAATACCCCCTCTTCCTTCCTCTAGCCCTGTGCAATAGCCCTCACAATCTCCATTCTATAGAAAAGGAAACCGAGCTATAGAGCGCAGGGGAACTGGCCCATGGCAGGTGGCTGGAGGGGAGGACTAGGGATTGGATCCCAGACTGTCGGAATCCTCTCTCTTGCCTGCCCCTACCTCATGGGTTAGTGTCCCCACTCTCAGGTTGAATCTGTGAGAGATGCTAGAGCCTCCTCATCCAGGCCCAACCTGCCAACTGAGTCCAGGCAGCCCCTCACAGGATGGTTTTCTTCGCGTGGTCTCGAGGGCAGTCTGGTAAGAGAGAAGGATGACTGTCTGAAGCCAGAAAGATGAGGTCTCCCAAAAGGAGGTCGTCCTGTTTGCAGGGAGAGGTGGCGCCGTGTGGGTGATAGCCTGTGCATGTGGCTCGGGCTTTCCTTGCTTCCAGGCACTCGTGGCACCTCTTGCTCACCAGGTAGATCAGCTCCATGAGGTTGAGCAGGATGCAGATGGCCGCTGTGGCCACCATGAAGAAGGTGAAGATGTTCTTCTCTGAGGGCTTAGAGATGAAGCAGTCCACTGTATTGGGACATGGATCTGCGTGGCACTTGACCACAGGAGGGAGGATATATTTAGGGTAAAATGAGTGGAACACATAGAGAAAGGCAATGTCCACGCTGGCCTTGAACACCAGGCTGCAGACGTACGTCCACCAGAGCCCACCCCGCTTCTTGCCAGGGTTCAGGTAGAGGCGCCCACCATCCTCCCCATAGGCTTCTTGATGCTTCTTCTCCTGAAGCTCCCGGTAGGCCACGTGCATGACCACGAGCAGCGAGGGGCACGTGACCAGGATGAGTTGCAGAGCCCAGAGGCGCACGTGGGACACGGGGAAGAATTCATCAAAGCAGACGTTGGAGCAGCCAGGCTGGCGTGTGTTGCAGTCGAAGTCCTTGTGGTCGTCACTCCACACACGCTCGGCTGTCACCAGGTACACCAGAACTCGGAAGATGAAGACCAGGGACAGCCAGATGCGCCCGAAGGCTGTGGAGTACTTGTTGACCCCACTCAGGAGTCCCTCAAAGATCCCCCAGTTCATGGTGGACCCAAGCGTCAGCAGCTGCTGCAGGGAAACAATAACACTGATTTCCTACATTTATAAAATACTCGCTCTGAGCACAGTGTAGAACTATGTCACCACCCTTCCTCCTCACCACCACTAGAGCTAGGTTCTACTACTGTCCCCATTTTATAGAGGGAGGAAGCTGAGGTTTAGAGGCATTATACAAGGTTACACAACTATTAGGTGCAGAGCTGGGATTTGAGCATAGGTAATTAAGCCCACAACCCAACTCCTACCCATAAAAGTGGATGAGGGCAGGTCCAGGGAGCCACTGATTTCTTGCAGGGCCTGAGGCTCTGGTCTTAGGGTTCTGCAGAGTGAAGATGTGTGGAGTTGGGACATTCTTCCTGCTCCCTCTGTTCCAATCCTGGCTCTCCTTCTCAGGGGGCTGAGCCTTGAGATGGCTTCTCCTCTCCTTTCTGAGCACTGCTGTCTCTTCTCAGACAGCTCCCTCCCCAGGGGAACCTGCTCTTTGTTTTTTTTTTTTTTTCCCTTAGCTCAGAGATGGTACTGGAAAGGAGGCTGGAACCTTGCTCCCAAGCCCCAGTCTGGTCTAACACTCTGTAATTAGCCAGGGAGAGTCCTGCTCCAGTGCCACTCATTTGAAACATGGCCAGTGCAATCCAGTTGAAAGATACAGGAGGCAGCAATACATTCTCTTCTTTTAGTAGGCTTCCTAGAGTAGCCTGTATTGAGTGTCTCCCAAACCAGTGTTCCCTGGAACCCTGTCCCATAGGTTGGCAGTAGAAGTGAGAGAAGAGGATTCTGTGTCAAGAAAAGTTGGCAAACGTCAGGTTTAGTAAAGTTAAGTAGCTCAGCTGTGCTAGTAAACTCACTAATACATTTACCAAAAGAGGTATGAAATATGTGGCATTGCCCAAACTCCTTTGCCCACAGAAGCCCTTTTCCTCCTGACATAACTTTGATCATCTTATGGGATAGCCTTTCAAGACATCAAGTGGGAAACGCTGCTCCTATCAGTGCTGCTGGTGAATTTGGCCTGATGAACTCCCAGAATCAGATTCACCTCCATTTAAGGACCGTGACTGCTAGGCAGAATAAGGGGTGCCCACTGCCTCACCTGCAAGCCCTCTGCCTGATTCCTGGGGATGGGGGTGTGTCCACCAAGATCCATGCACTGTGGTTTCAACTGACTGTGCACCCTGGGACCCCAAGGAGCCTGTCTGCATAGCCACTAAAGGGCTCGTGCTGCCCTTCCTGTGCTGGCCCAGGCTGAAGCTCTCCAGGCTGTCTCAGCCTCTGCAGGATCACCTGCAAAGCAGTGTCGTGATGACAGCCAACATCCATGAAGTATTCATGCCGTGCCAGTCCCTGCTGTAAGTTCTTTGCATGAATCAAGACATTATTCCTTCACAGCAACCTTAGGAAGGGACAGGATATTTTTCATTCCCAATTTACAGATGAAGAAAGAGGATCACAGAGGGGTTAATTAACTGGCACAATGTCACACAGCTAAGTGGCAGAGCTAGGATTTGAACCCAGGCATGCTGGCTCTAGAGCCCACCCTCTGGGAACTGCCCAGCCTTAGGCCTCAGACCCTTTCCTCAAGCCTCGATGAGCTGCCTGTCTGTGTGCAGACAGATTCTGTCCTTCACCTTGTGTGTGGCTCCTGGGTGGCTGGGGGTACCTTTGCCCCCCACCCTGTTTCCACACCACCTGCCACTTAGACGGGGAGTGAAGGGGGACTCTGCTCTGAATCACCAGTTTGCATGCTCAGTCCTGTCTAAGGTAGGCGGGACTCCTGGCAGCTTCTCAGGGAACACCCAGGGAGGCCCCCACCCTTAGCCCCCAGGGGCTCTCACCCAGCCCATCCCTACTTGGGGGTGGGGCGGGCTCTGCAGGCCCAGGCAGAGCTACCCTGCTTGCCTAGCTTCCGGCCTGGCCCCCTCTTAGCTCCTCTCCCACTCAGTTCCTTGCTGCCACCTTTGCCTGGCTGGGGAGAGCTGGAAGAACCCAGAACCCTTTATTCCTCCACCATCAGGACCAAGGGTGGCAGATGTGTCCAGGCGGCCCCCCCTCCCCGCTCCCCACCGAAGTGTCCTCCTGCCACGTATGCCAAGGCACTGGACACATTGGACATAGATGCCCTTACCTGAGTGGCTAATCCTTAGGGCCCTCCTGGCTCCTGGCAGCCGGCAGTAGGACTCAGCAAGCAGCTGGAATTTCATATCCAGAACTGGGGAAGGTTTTCAGAGAAGCCCGTTGAATCCCGTTCCCGTTCCCAGGAAAGAGCCTGCTGGGTGTGCCGACCCAGCCCGGGAAGAGGAGGAGCTGGGGCCTGCACTGCCATTGGCTGGGACCCAGCTTCCTCAGACTGCTTCTGATGAGGGCTCAGGAAACAGGGGTTCACTAAGCCTCGAATCCTGGTATCCTCTCAAGAGAGCCACAGGTCCACTCTGACTCCTGCTTGTGTTCCCTGTCCTGCGCTCTCATTCCTCTTTGGAAAATTTCCGTTGTTATTTCTTGGGACTCCTCTGACTTGCATGGGCTGCTCTCCAGACTCCCCTCTTTCTGATTGATCCTTGGTGGCCTTCCATTCTCATGGCCCCAGTTGCCTTTGGAAACTCCATGCGTTCCAGACTCTGTCTCGGGCCCAGGTGCTTTTGTCCCTTCAAGTGCCATTTACCTGGACGAGTCTCGGGCCCAGGTGCTTTTGTCCCTTCAAGTGCCATTTACCTGGACGCCCTTCTCCCAGCTTTCTCTCCTTCTGGCTAATTCCTCCAAGACGTTGTAGGAGTTGCATCTGGAACCTCACACCCTTGGATCTAGAACCTCATGCACCTGCATCTTCTCTCCAGGCCCCTATATCTGGAGTCTCAAACCCTTAAACCCGGAGTTTACACTCCTGCATCCAGAGCCCCACACGCCTTCCTCTGGAGTTCACACGGCTGTAGCTTGAGTTCACATCCCTATATTTGGAGTTCACACTCCTGTATCTGGGGTTCACATCCCTGTATCGAGGCCTCACACTCCTGCATCTGAAGTTCACACCCCTGCATCTTGAGTTCACACCCTGCATCAGGCCTCACACTCTTGAATCTGGAGCCCCACACCCCTACACCTAGAGTTCATGCCTTGCATTGGAGTTTACACCCCTATGCCTGGGCCTCACACCCCTACATTTGGAGTCCACACTCCTGCATCTGGAGCTCCACACTCCTGTTTCTAGAGTTCACACCCCTGAATCTGGGCTCCACATTCCTGCATCTGGAGCCGCACACCCCTGTAGTGGAGTCCACACCCATACATCCGGGCCCCACACCCCTGCGTCTGGAGTTCACACCCCTGCATCTGGGCCCATGCCCTGCATTGGGAATCTCACAATCTGGATTTGAATCTCATCCCTGCTAGTTTTTGATCTGGGTGGTTCACTTATGTTCTCTATACAAAGAGACATCCCACATCTGTGACGCGGGGAGTTATGAAAAGACAGTGGGTGCCACACAGTGTAATGGTTGCATGCACAGACAGTGGCCTGAATCCCAGCTCTGCCACTTTCTAACTATGTGATGCCTTGCCTTCTCTGTAAAAGTGGGAAAAGAACAACAGCTACCTCATAGGGTGGATGCATGAAGTAACCCAGCCTTAGGGGTAAGTGCCTGGTGCAAGGGAAGCCCTGTCCACAGTTGCCTGTAATGCATGTAAACTGCCCAGCACAGGCCTGCCACGTGTCCTCAAAAAAATGTTTCTCCCACCCCCTTTTCCTTATTCCTAGGCCTTTTCTTTCTAAGATACAGGGAAGGCAGAGGAGAAGGGAGGGAGAGAGAGACATACTCGCTAGAGAAAATCTCATTTGGATGCATGTTGTTTTTGGGCTTAAATGGCCAAATGCAAGCCAGGCAGGCACTGTAGGAGAGGTGGAGAAGGTGGATGGGGGTGCCTGATTTCTCATTAGTGCACAGACACAGTCTGTTGGCCTAATTAACTTCCAAGGTGCCTGTATCAGTAGGTCACATGGGGTCAAGATTCAATAGACAAAGTATCCAGGAGCCACAAACACCGCGTGTCCACAAGCAAACACAACATAGCTTCACATGTGCATACTCTTACACACAGACCACACTATGGGCACAGCGATGCACACACATGCAGCAGTGGCTTTATTTTATTCACTGTTCTACCCCTTGTGCCTAGAAGGGTGCCTGGTATCTTGTCCCGTTAGACTTCAATTTATATTTATTGAATGAATGATGTGAGAAATGCACATGCCCTAGAGAGAGTCACATACATCTATACTGCTTCATGCTCTTTCCAAAACCCTGTTGCCAAGTACAGGAGAGAGGAGCCTATGAAGAGATCAGTTACAACATAGTGAGAAGTCCTATAAAAGACATACAATGGAGTTTTAAGTTCTGCCAGAGGGAGACTGAGAGAAGGTAACATTTAAGCTGGGTCTTGAAGGATGTATAGGAGTTCACCAAGAAGAGATGCTGAGGAGGGATCTTTGAGGCAGTGGGCACATAGAGTGCAGAGGACCTTTGTGAAAGACAATGGAAGAGCAGTAGAGAGTGGGCTGGGCGGTGGTGGGGGCACCAAATGACAAGGTGCCTGGAAGGTCAGCAAAGACCTTCTAGGCCATGAAGGACCTGGAGTGTCATGCTAAGAAGTTTGAATTTATCTTGGGTACAGAGGGAGGCATGAGGGAGTTCTTTTCTTTTTAAAATTTTTACCTTTCATATGGTGCTGAGGCAGGGGGTAGTTCTAAGAAAGGAAGAGACATGGTCACATTGGTACCTTTGATTCTCATTATTCAAGGTAATTATATTCTATAAGTCACCATGAACACCAAGTTAGTGAATATGGAAGCATTCTTCCTAGAGGGCATATGAGGTTAGGTTCCTTCAAGCTTCTGTTTACAACATGGTTATCAACTATCAGTATAGGTGTCTGTTTTATGTGTGTTTCTCAAGACACCTTACTTAATGTATATTGCTGACTCACTAATATTGAACTAAAAGCCAACATCATTATAACTCATGACTGAATGAAGCTTGTCGAACACAAATTTTTTTTCCATAAGGCTTATCATAGCCTTCGTGTGCTTAGGAACACTAGATGGCGCTTCAGCATTATAATCTGGGCCGTTTTAAACAGCAAAACCCCAGCAAAAAGCAAGAAATGAGAAAAATATGGCACTCAATAGACCTCCAATAGAACATGAGTTTATAGTATTAGAGCTGAAAGGGGAAGGCAGAATTTTGCCTTATTCAGCCACAGCTGGGAGCATGTGCATTGGGAGACTCAATTTTTGCCACTCTGTGCATGTTATAAATGGCCATGAAAGTGTCTTACATGTAAATTTTGGACTAGAAATACATCATGATGAGCAGGAGAATGCACAATACAGAAGCTGTAAATAATGAAGATCAACTGTATGTTTAGAAAGCTCCCTCTGTTTGAGAGAAGAGGCTGGAGGGGCTTGTGAGACCAGTATGAAAGTTATTGCAATGATTTAGGCAAGCAAGAGGGTGGGATTTGGGAAATAGCTGGTAAATGCAGGTGGCAGTTTTGGGGGACTGACTGGATGTAGGGTGTGAGGCAGGAGGCTGACCCAGGATGGTTCACTGGTCACTGGCTTTGACAATTTGATAGGTTGGGCCACTAATAGAAATAAGGGCTATAGAAGGAAAAACAGGTTGTTTGGGGGTATCTTAGTCCATTTTGTGCTGCTATAGCAGAATAGTTGAGAATGGTAATTTATAAATAACAGATATTTCTTTCTTATAGTTGTGGAGACTGGGAAGTCCAAGATCAAGGTGCTGGTGTCTTGCAAGGGCCTTCTTGCTGTGTCCTAACATGGCAGAAGTCATCACATGAGTGAGAGAGGGAGAGAGAGAGGTGTCGAACTCACTTTGATAATAAACCCACTCTCATGATAACAAACCCTCTCCCATGGTAATGATGTTAATCTAACTAACCAATTACCTGTTAAAGTCCCACCTCCCAACACTGTTGCATTGAGGGTTAAGTTTCAATACATGAGAACACTGTGGGGGCACATTCCAAGCATAGCAAGGTGAGTGAGTGGGAAAGGTGGTGCATAGGTTCGTCACAGATGTGTATGGAGTTAGTGAGTTCAGTGCTATGTGTGCTAAGTTGGAGCTACATGAGCTATCCAGGGCCATGAGGTGGCAGCAATGGCTGGAGGTTGAAGCCACAGGAGTAGGCAGTGGAGAGTGCACTGAGAAAAGAGAGTCCAGCAGAGCTCTGGAGAGTGCTGGCATTTTAGGAAGCAGGCAGAGAACTGCTGGCAGAGGAGAAAGCTCTGGGCTTCAATTTAAATCCCACACTTTCAGAAAGACTTTCCCTGCTGCCTGAAACTAGGTCTGGTTCTCCATTATACATTCTCTTGGCACTGTGCTTCTCCTTTGTGACTCTATCCCAATTGCATTCTTAGAGTTTTGTGTGTGTGTGTGTGTGTGTGTGTGTTTTATTTCCTCCTTTGACTGTGGTGTGTGTCTGTGAGGTGTGTGCACTGTGGAGTATGTGTGGATTCCAAGGCCAATCCTTAAGAGGACCAGGCCCAGAGGTTGAACCATGAGAATCATGCTTGCTGATCTGTTTCCACCATCAGTCACAACACCTGGCACATAGTAGGTGCTTAATGAATATTTGACGATGAGTAAATGATTCTGTTTATCAAGTGTAAAGGTGCCAACAGTGTTCCCAAATCCTTAGCTATGAGGATGTTGAAGTGTTACAGTGTTAAGAGCACAGGCTCCAGAGCTCAGCTACCTGAATTCCAACCCCAGCTCTTCTGCTTACTGACTGTGCAAGTCCAGGCAAATTTCTCAGCCTCTCTGGACCTCAGTTTTCTCATCTGGGACTTGGGGGCATGGGAGTTCCTACCTCATGGAGTTATTGTGAGGATTAGATGAATAAACATCTAAAACATGCCTGGCACATAATAAACACCCAATAAATGCTAGCTATTGTTATTCTCAGCTAGGACCAATATCTGGGAGTGAGACTGAGTTTATGCTGCTTTCTGTTTTCTTTCCCTCATTATTTGGCCATAGTCTTTGCACAAGCCTGTCTCAGCTCTGCTAAGGAAAATGGGAGTAGAGGTGAATAAGCAGTCCATCCTCCACCATCACTGGAAGGACATGGAAATACTGCAAATCCATTTCCTGTCCTTGAGTTGCTTCTGTGCTAGAGGGGACCAGGACAGACCCAGTTATATCCGTTCCAGGGAAGGAGTGGGGTCCAGCCCCCAGAAAAGCTTCATCTACGATTATCTGTTTCTACCACGAGGCCTGTGCTGGCTTCAGCCGCATAGCTCACTCCTTTACCTGGGTCAGAATTTCAGC